CTACCTGGTCCAGAAAGGTCATAAGAAGCCGATATCTCTTGCACTTATATAGTCATTGGTAGCTCTAAAGCCCTTTCATTTTCTATTCATCTAATGATCTATTGAAAGAAAGGTAGTATTGTGCTCATTTTCCAGAAGAGAAAACTGTAATTGACTTCCTTTGCAAACTTTCAGGTAAGTCATTCATGGCTCAAAAAGATGAAGTGATTTTCTAGAGTTGGATGTCACATAGAATTAGATTCAACCCTACCTTGGGAAATTTCTTACTGATAGCTCCATGAGTCCTTGAAAATCTTACACAAACTAGTACATCCATGAGATCCTGTGGGGGAATGGCCTGGGGACCAGTAGCATCAGCAGGAGCTGATGACGCTCTTAAAAGGGTGGGGAAAAAAAGAGTTTCATGGTGAGACAGAGAGGTGGATGGGGCTAAGGAAACCAGAATGACTCAGCACCCAGAGACTAGTAACAAGGGGGAGCTGTTACCACCTTTGGGTCTGAAGGGGCAAAAGGAGGAAGCTGTTCCTGAACCTCAACAAGCACTGAGACTGTGGGAGAGAAGCCTCTTGACAAGCTCTGTGGCCTTTGACCAAGAAGCAGAGCCACTGCGGGAGAAACTGAACCCAGGCAGTGGGGGAGCAGACCAAACATATCCCAACCTGTCTCCTCTCCTACCTTGCAGTCTCCTACTGGTGACTCCCACTGGCCAAACCCAACAGAAAACCAGAGGGCAAGGAAGCTCTAGTGATGAATTCCATGAACATCAGCCTCCTGAGACACACGGAAGAGCAGAGAAGTGTGGAGAATGGACTTGGGGGGATAAGTAACACAGCTGTCAATGGAAAGGAGTAGACCATCCGTTTGTCCATTCATCAACAAATATCTATCTTCCCAGTGGGTAGGGAGATAACAGTGAACAAGACAGGTAAAGTCCCTGTCCTCAGGGATTTTACCATCTAGTAAGAGGCAATTGTCAACAATCATATAAACAAATATATAGCATTTTCAGGTAGTAGTAAAGACCAGGAAGGAAAAACAGGACAATGGGTAGAGAATGGCTGTGCCAGGTTGGAGAGCTGCTTTCAACAGGCTCATCTGGGAAAGCTTCTCAGAGGAAGTGGCCTTTGAAATAAGGCAACCCGGACTTCCTAGGAAAGTCTACCTTGATTCCACATCTACTCCCAGACTTTTAAAAATGCAATCTGTGCGTAAGAATCAAATCTTGGCTGTGATTTGGGTGCATCTGGCCAGCTCCCATGAAAATGAGATACTAGACTGAGCGATAAGAATAACAACAACAGCCACTAATATTTACACATAACTTGTACTCTCCACCACAAAGCCATTTGCTAATTCCTTTGTCTTGTTTGGTCTAGCTGCCATGGGCACCAAGGCATTGGGCTGTTAATTCTATGTTCCCAGATCCTCAGCCCTTCAAGAACAGCAAAGTGGAAACGTACATTCTATTCCCCTGTTTTACTGCATCTCTGCCCTACTCTTTAGACTTCCCGTGCAGAGCAGAATGGTTTCTTCTTTCTTCCTTGGTGGGTCCGCCTGATGTGAACTTGAGATAGATTCTTCTCCACACATACCCTCCAACTCCCAATTTAAAAATGTAAAAAGACTGTGTCAGGGAGGTGAAACGTGTGCCCCAGTAGCTCTGTCCCAGCCTCTGATAATGCGTGCATGCAACAGCTCTGCAGCCAGCGGCAGGTATGTTTTTTCTTCCTCTCCCTCACTCCCTGCTCCTCCACGTCAATTTCAGGCGTGTCTCCAGTCTTAACTCCGTGGTCTCCAGGCCATTTGTTTGCATAGGTGAGACTTCTCAGTCAATAAAGTCAACGCAATTTTCTTCCCCAGCACCCCCTCCCTTCAAAAAAAGAAAAAGAAAAAAGAACAGAAAGTGGGGTGGGGGCTAAGACCGGGGAGAGGCTGCGGTTGCTAGCGCTGGGGTCTACATTTTGTATTTCGCTGACAGCCCAGGGCCGCTGCAAAGACCTCGGCACAGCCAATGGGCAGCGGTGATTTATGGAGCTGACTAATGCTGGCTGAATGCGGCCTGTCACGGCGCTGTGAATGGCTTCCCTTCGCCGCACAAGCCCCGGCTTTGTGTTGCTAAGCGATTAGAGCAGATGTAATGAGATTTTGCCCAATCCCCGCTTTGCCCTTTCCTAGCTTCGGCAAAATTGTGTGTGTTTTTGTGAATTTTTCGAGTTTTCCTCCGCATTGTGGCAAACAACGGCTAACTTTGCCTCGAGTTTAACGAGACTGGATCTTTCCCATTCAGAAGTGAGTAAAAGAACACCTGTCCTCACAAGGAGGAGGGGGAAAAAATCCCCTTTGTGGGGGCTGAAACATTATCCTAATGTTATATTCATAGCCATAAATGACTCGCTACACTTTCTTTGCATACCTTATCTGGAAACTTGCAAAGGAGCTAAATTAAACCAAAAAAAAATGGAAGGTGGGGGGAGTCCAGCTCTGGTCTTCCAAATGAGAAGATAAAAATAAAAGCAAGCGTCACAAAAGCGTTACTTGCCTCAAGTAAGCTCTAAATTGGCCCACTGCTGGCAGCAAGTCCGATTATTTATGGCGATGAGGAATGTACTGATTTTTTCCCCCTTAATTACGCTCATCTCTTTGAAAGAGACTGAAGCCTCAACGTGCATTCTATAGAAGATCATTTAGCAAAATGACATCAGACGCTGTGGCGTGCTCCGCGCATCGCGGCTTTAAAAAATGATTATTCTGTGCCACTAAATGGTATAGATGTACCAACACAGACTAGGTTTTTTAACTCTGGAAGACGTGCTGGCTCCCCGTTCTTTGTTGGGTTTTGTAAGATGCATTTTGCGCTCGGCTTTCCGCTTGGCTGGAGACACGCAAACTGAATCTGCAAGTAACGCAGGCGGCCAGCGAGGCGCCGGGCGAGAGGCCGAGTAGGATTCTAATCACGTCCTTGCTAACTGACAAGAAGCAAGCCAGCCAAAAACCCACCAATTTCTTTTTGAATCTTGGTAATTGGGTACTTTTACACGCAGCTCACGCTATTCGCATAGAGTCACAAGCTTAGATAGGACAGTGTTTCAAAGCGACCACACATTTCTGATGCGTTTATTATCTAAATCTAACTCCTTCTGTAAGTAATTCGTATCATACATGCCTTTTACTTTAAATCAACATGAAAAGGGTGTGTGTTGGAGAAAAGGAGTAGAAAATGTGTGCCTGGACGTGAGGGACAAGGAACACACCCACCCCTGGGAGCTTGGATGTGGAGAGGGCCACCTCTCCCAGCCCCCAGGCCCAGCACCACCAGCTTCCACCCACCCCTAGTGTCCATTATTAAATCCAGCCCTCCCATAGTTTCACAATGAGAAACTCAGATTAGGAGTGAGGGTTGGAAAGTAGGGTGGAGGACCCTCTCTTTCCAGTTCACTTTTTTGGGAATTTTTTAAGGTACAGTCATTTTACCAAAGAATGATACAGCCTTTAATCACCACCCATTATCTTGGTGTGTGGATACAACTGCAGCACAGAAGAGAATAAAATAGTACGTATGTGCACCTTTTTCCTCTACATTTATCCCAAAGCCACCACTTGGGTAGGCTGGCCACAGCACTTATCTTTGCCATTTCTGCCACTTAGCATGTTTTGCATCACTTTCTTCTCGCCCACCCATCCCTTCCCTTCAGCATTTAGATAATAACTTGGCCAGGGGCAGCGAAGTCAAAGAAGGCTTAGAGGCAGCTGATTATTTTCATTTTTAAAAAAAGGAAAAAAAGTTTTATTACGAAACTAGTTTGTATAAAACAGGGTTATACATTTTTTTTGTAAGTTTGTAATAAAACAGTAAGAAAAAAAAGCAGTGATAGAAATTTTCCAAAAGGCAACCTATCAAAACCAACTGGTTGCCACTTTACGTTTGGACAGTAGCTGCATAAACTTTGTTCTTCTTGAACAGTATTTAATAACATCATTAATACATTAACAACGTTTCTATAAAGTAAGACACATTGGTGCTGAAGTACATCTGGTGGCCTTTTGATCTCACCTATGAGGGGAGTTCTTTACAAAACCACATAGGGAAAATGGCAGTTGTAAGGTGAACTACACATCTAAAATATGCAGAGGTAATAGCATTACATGTTAAAGTATCAAGATATACACATTTTAAACCATTTGTACAAAACTTCTATAAATTTTTTTCTCTCTCTTTCTCTCTTATGTACAAAAATATCTTAATATATCCCCAAACTGGTTAGGATAGATACAAATAGATTTTTCTTATAATAAAAAAATTCACAGAAGATTGGAAGCATTCTACGATGAAAACGGTAGAAAAGACAGTGTAAGGGAGGGCTTGGGGTTTGGGGAGGGGCCCCGGAGCTGGGTTTCAAAGGACTGAGTATAGCATAGTTTCACTGCAGACAGATGTCCACAGCTTATTGGGGTGTGGCGTTACTGATACGAAAGACACCAACCCATTTCTACAGGGCTTAGAACTGCACTTTGAGAGAGGGGGAGGGGAGGTGAAGTCACCCGAGCCAGCGCTTTCAGCTCTGGGTGCCAGTGGTGGGTGGGAGTGACTGTCGGATGTGTGCTGCTCCCTTCTGCCAGGAGCCCACTGCTTTTGCACACAAGCTGCGTTTGCACGTTGACTCAGGTCCTTGTCGCTCCTCAGATCGCCATGAATGACTGCAGTGCAAAGATACTGTTCTGAGAGCATCCCTGTTTTCTGAGAGCCTTGCTCTCAGTCATGCATCGCTTAGTTGTCGTTGGAGTTGGTTGCCTGTGGTGTTTGTGTGTGTGTGTGTATGTGTGTGTTCTTTTTCATTCTTTTCTGCTCTTCTATTTCCTCTTCTTCTTCTTTTTTTTTTTCTTTTCCTCTTTTTTCCCCCCTCCAAACGTCGCTGACGAGAAAGCACTAAAGATGCAGGCTGTGTGGTCACCCTATAGTTCTTTTTCATTCTTTTCTGCTCTTCTATTTCCTCTTCTTCTTCTTTTTTTTTTTTCTTTTCCTCTTTTTCCCCCCCTCCAAACGTCGCTGACGAGAAAGCACTAAAGATGCAGGCTGTGTGGTCACCCTATAATATAAGGAGAATAGCGGAAGAGATTAGTGCGAACTTGAAGGCTGGTGGTAGAGGAAGATGGAGGTTTGGGGGAGAGTCTGCCAAGTAAAACACCTCTTTTGACATTTTCCATACTCTGTTCGCCTGCATCTCCGCATCTCACCCAGACCCTCTACTCCTGGGAGACCTGGGCAAAGCCACTTTCAGAGGCCAGTGCTGAAACTAACAAAGTAGTATTTGAAATGGGCAAACTTTAACAAATCATTTAAATAACTCCCCCATCTCCGTGGAGATAGCCCCCCTTCCACAGACACTCAGAGGGAGAGGAAAAAAACGGAGACACGAAGACCCCTTGCTCACCCCCAAATGCAACATACCTGCTTCCAAAGCCCATTCGCACCAGTGCCTGACCAGGCCCAGCCCCTCAGAACCAGTTGGTGAAGTCGAGAAGCTCTTGCTCCTCGGGGCTGAGTGGGTCATAGGAGCCCTCGTCGGAGGAATAGGATGAGACCGGTGAGCCGGCCATGGAGTTCATGTCGTTGGAGTAGTTGGGGGAGATGGTGGGCGACAGGACGCCAGCCTGGAAGGCGGCGCTCACCGCGTCGTGCTCGTCGAGCAGCTGCTGCAGCGCGCGGATGTACTCGACGGCCGAGCGCAGCGTCTCCACCTTGCTCATCTTCTTGTTGGCCGCGCCATTGGGGACATGCTCCCGAAGGGTGGCAAAGCCCAGATTGACTAACTTGACGCGGTTGCGCTCGCGCTCGTTGCGGCGCGCCACAGCGGCAGGCTGCTGCTGCGGCAGGCTGTAGCCGAAGCCGCTGAAGTTGAGCCGGCGTTTGCAGCGCATCAGTTCGGGCGAGGACGAGCGCTGTCGCTTGACTTGCTTGGGCGCTGACTTGTGACCGCCCCCTGAGGGCTGGCCATCGGCCGCCGGACTCAGCTGCGGTGCCTGCTGCTGCTGCTGCTGCTGCGCGCTGTGCGCGGCCGCAGCCGCGGCTGCAGCTGCCGCGGCTGCAGCAGTGGCAAAGAAGCAGGCTGCAGGCGGCAGGAAGGGCTGCTGGGGTTGCGGCTGGGGCTGCTGGCCCGCGCCGCCGCTCTCCATCTTGGCAGAGCTCTCCATGCGCAGCGGCCGCCAAGGAGTCGCGGGATCAGAGCGAGCGGGGACGCGAGGTGCGGGGCGCGCGAGGGGGACACAGACAGGACTCGGGTGCACGAACAGAGGGGGAAAGAAGGGGAAAGACGAAGAGAAAGCCCAGAGGGAAGTTAGGAAGAAATGACAAAATCCCCGGGAGCCTTCTCAGACTGAGAGCAAAGAAGGTGCAAATGCGTTTCCTTCTCCTACGCCTTCTCCACCCTCCTCCCCTCCTCCCTTCGCGGGTTGGCCTCTGGAGCCTCGCGTGGCGCTCGCGTGTGAGGCTGCCGCTAGCGCCTTCGTGTTTGAAAAAAAAAAAAAAAAAAAAAAAAAAAAAAGGCAGAAGCAGCAGCAAAAGTCAGTGCTGAGCGCGCTCCGCTGAGTCTCCCGTTCCTCTCTCCCTAAGGCTGCGCTCTCTTGCGCCCGGTCTCGGTCTCTCCAGCCGTGGCTCAGGCTGTTTGTATTATTTTGTTACCCCCCTTTCTTTCTTATTTCCTTCTTTCACTCGCCCTCCCTGGCTGGCTCCCTGTCGGTGCGCCTTCCACGTTCCCTGGCCAGAAGTGAGACAGTGCTGGGCGGCCGGAGTGCGGCCGCCTTTTCAATGGGACACCCGGCCCCACGCGCAGCCCTGGCCCCGCCTCGCCCCCCACTCCCCGCTGCTGCAGCGAGCGGCTGCAGCCCCCACTTCCCCCTCCTCTTACCTCCTCCTCCCACCCGCTCCCTAAACTCCCCCTCCGCCTCTCCCCTCCCCCCTCCCGTTCCCTGCGCCGACTCCTTGCAAACTCTCCATTCAGCAGGGTTTGTTGTTGCAGTGCGTGCGCCTGGCGCGTGCCGGACTCCCGGCTGAATAAACAGGCGGCGCGCTCAGGGCGGGCTGCAGCCGGGGGCGGCTCTAGAAAG